TCCCTGTGGTGGTGGGGCTCTGCTTACCGATGAAGTTCCCAAGGTAGAGGCCAGGGAGGATCTGTGGGACACAAGGAAAAGTGGCAGTGTGAGCAGTGACCTTGTGCTGTGGTACCCACCGCGCCGGGACCCCTTGTCCAGAAAGGCCAAATTTCTGTTGTTAACGTGACTCACCAGCCCTGGAGCAGGATTGGTGCTGGTGCAGCTGACCGTGGGTGCTCCTGGGGCTACCACTGCTCTGGCATCCAGCACAAGGGGCTGGATGCAGCCCTGGCACCCCAACCTGTGCCACTGCCTGGCACTGCACCCTCACGGGCGCTGGGAGTCAGCATCGGCCACGGCTTTTTTTTATTGCTCCTCTTGCTTATTGTCAATAGCTTCTTTGTTGGGGCTTTTTTATCTGAGCTCAGCAAGCTGCACACGCCTCCATACAGCCTTGGACTATACCCGTGGCCCGTGGAAGTCCTGCTGCCCGAGGGACAGGGAAGCAACAGGCACGGAGAAGGGTGCGGGTACGCAGTGGTCCCCCCCTCAGCTCTGCTTCCTCTCACTCGACACCTAAGGGAGCCCTTTTCTAACAGATCCCTCTGGACACCATGTCTTCATCTTATTTTCCTTGTGAAATTCCACTTTGCACGATGAAAAGGTAATTACTTGACAATGCCTCTGTTAATTGCACTGCAGGTATGGAAGCAGGATGGCTTACATCCCCTCTTACTCAGAGCTATTTTTTATTTTCCCTGTCTCCCAGCAAGGCTACCCAGGCTGTTCATCCCTTTGTCCACCAGTTCCCCACCAGCTTCTCTGTGCTGTGATGGTTGGTGCCTGGGACCTGGGCAGGCAGAGGTGATTCCTACCAGCACAGCTGGGCTCACACTGCTCTCCCTGCCTACGTTTGGAAACGTTTCTCTTGGTCAAACAGCTTAAAGAGGTTTTGGTGGGTTTTTTTTTTTTTTTATGATTCCTAAGATTTTAGATCAACTTTCTATTGACAAGGGTGCCTTTAAGTTGCAGCTGCGGCACCGAAAGGAGGTGGTAGAAGAGCACCAGTTAGCAAGGGCAGCTCCCAAGGGCAGAAGGCTGAGCCACGAATAGCAGCACCTTCCATCCCCAGCACCCTTCTGACCCACTCCTGGCTGGAGAAAGCAGGGCACAGGAAAGCCCCGTCTGCAGCACTGGGCTCTTCCCCAGATAACGAGCAGTTATGGGGCTGGGGAGGGGTGTTTAAAGCTTAGGAGCTGGAGATACCTGCAGGAAGAAGGTGTCTCTATTTACCTGTGACAGGGAGAAGCTCCAAAGACCATAAAATAGCACCAGCCCCTTCCACGCAGGGATGCTGGGCTGGGGGTTGCACAGGACCCCCGGTGTGTGCTCGGGAGCTGGTGCCTTGGTTTTAAAGGCGCTGGTTTTTTTTAAAGGCACTTGGTTTTTAAAGGTTCCCCCCCTCCCTGGGAGGGGATCTCTCTCACCCTTGCCCTCCACACCCCCCAAGCCACAGTTGCGGGCTGGCGCGGGGTC